AAAAAAAAAAAAAGAATATTACAGGATGAGGGGAAAAGTGCGCCAGTAAGGCAACATCAGGCATGTGTGTTCAGCAGGAGTCCTCAACAGCCGAGCTCCAAAGTGATACCCTGGAAATAAGACCACACAAGTGAGTGTATTAACTACTTTGAAGATGCATACTCTGTAAGTGTGAGTTATTACTTGTAACAAACAATGGGTGTAGCTTCCAGGGGTTTTGGTAAGAAACACACCCAGCCAACAGTTATGTTACTTAAGAAGTCCCAAGCTTTGTCTTCCAAACACTAGGTGGTTTTGGTTTGTTTTGTTTTCCTTGTTTTGTTTTGTCTGTTTTTTGAGAGAGAATCTGTGTTGCCCAGGCTGGGGTGCCATGGATCCTCAGCTTCCCTGGTAGCTGGGACTACAGGCTTACACCCCCATGCCCAGCTAATTTTTGTACTTTTAGTAGAGATGGAGTTTCACCATGTTGACCAGGCTGGTCTCAAACTCCTGATCTCAGGTGATCTGCCCATGTCGGCCTCCCAAAGTGCTGGAATTACAGGCATGGGCCACCGTACCCAGTCATGTTACAGATATCTTTAAATATAATTCATACTTCTCTCTACTTTGATATTAGACTGCAGTTACACCTTGTGGCAAAACAGAGTGGGTGTAGTACATCAGGGATGACACAGACAATTAGATATTATGAGTTATTAGATTGGCTAGTAGATCTTATTTAGTGTGTTAATAGATGCACATTATTACATCACATTTTAAAAATCTTTTAATAATTGTGTTGCAATATTGTTCCTTTTGTAAAGCCACTATATATCTAAATTTTTTACTTAAAAACATTATTCTCAAAAGTTGTCTGTTAGCTTCACCTAAATACCAAAAGGAAGGTCCACAGCACAGAAAACGGTTAAAAACCACTGTGCTGGCAAACCTTTGTAAGGTGAAAAGAGGTCAGGTCCTGATACCAGCTATTGGCCATATTTGGAATCTACTCTGTGGGTTTTAATCTGTAGTTTTCCATGGGAGTGAAAGTGAAGTAATATATGACTTCATCTAAATTGGCCCGTGAAATAAAAATACTATTAAGAATAAATATGGGTGGGTGTGGTGGCTCACACCTGTAATCCCAGCACTTTGGGTGGCCAAGGTGGGCAGATACCTGAGTTTAGGAGTTTGAGACCAGCCTGGCCAACACGGTGAAACTCCATCTCTACTAAAAATAAATTAGCCAGGTGTGGTGACACACACCTGTAGTCTCCACCACCTGGGTTCAAGCAATTCTGAGGCAGGAGAATCACTTGAACCCGGGTAGTGGAGGTTACAGTGAGCCAAGATCACATCACTGCACTCTAGCCTGGGCAACAGAGTGAGACTCCGTCTCAAAAAATTAAATAAACAAACAATCAAACAAACACCTACTTGGGAGGCTGAGGCGGGAGAATCGCTTAAACCTGGGAGGTGGAGATGGCAGTGAGCTGAGATTGCACCACTGCACTCCAGCCTGGGTGACAGAGCAAGACTCTGTCTCTAAATAAATAAACAAACCTTATTAATGATACTGAATAATGTATACTAACAGGTCAGCTATAGTATCAGTGTAATTAGACTTGCATCTTATGATTCGATATTTTCCCCTAGTTCACTCAGTCTTTTTCTGTTTTCTACAGGACATTGACAGTAGTGATATCAAAAGCCCAACATGCCAAGACACAGAAATAGAAGATATGCCAACACTTTCTCCACAGGTATGCCTTGGAATTGGAGAACAAGGTGCAGATTCTTCAATAGAATCCCCCATGCCATGGTTATGTGCCTGTGGTGCTGAATTGTACCACGAAAGAAAAGTCAAAACAGGACCACACAATCATGATAAAGAGTTTGTCTTAACTCCCAAGGGACCTGAAACCAGAGATCCCAACTCTAAAGAAACTGCGGTTGTGCCTATTGGCAGAACACAGAGTGGGTGCGCCACATCAGGGATTACACAGACAAACGGAAACAGCACAGGTGAGATGGAAAACGAAGAGTCTTGCCTACCAATCAGTAAGGATATTTCCAAAAGAAAAAACCAAGAATCTTCCTTTGAAGCAGTCAAGGATGCATGCTTTTCTGCAAAAAGAAGGAAGATGTTCCCCAACTCTTCCTCAGATCAAGAGGAAACAGAAACAAACTTTACCCAAAAACTGATAGACTTGGAGCATCTCCTGTTAGAGAGACATAAACAAGAAGAACAGGACAGGTTATTGGCATTACAACTACAGAAGGAAGTGGACAAAGAACAAATGAAGCCAAACCGGCAAAAAGGATCCCCTGATGGATATCACTTACGTGCTACATCCTCACCTCCAGACCAAGTGCGAAATGGACAGAGGAAGAATTCCAAAGATAGGAACTTCAAAAGGCAAACTGATACAGAGCACCCCAAACCTGAGAGAAGCTCAAGGGACGAAAATAGGCAACTGTCTGTTAGGATGCAGCTGAAGCATTCAGTTAATGGACGAAAGACGCCAAATGCTGCTAGAGATCATTGTAATGTAACCAGAAGTGCTCATTCCCTACAGCCAAACATTTCACAGAAAAGCATTTTTCAGATGTTTCACAGATGTCCAAAGTAATGCATGCCTTTAAAGGGAGTGCTTTGTAATCTAGTAAAGCTGGATTGTGAAGCTCTTTTCTATCACAGAGTCTTTATACATGTGTCATTCATGCTGCTCTCTAGGTACACTCATTGTCCTTAATTAAAGGTCTGTGTGGTTGTAAGGACAATACCTTATGCTTTGGCCAATTCCAAGAAGTCTTGGTGTCATTCGTTTTCCAAAAAATGCATGTTTTTTGGCCTTTGCTCACTTTTTTGTCATGACTGGTAATCAAATCAAGATTATACTATTCTAAGTAATTAAGGAACCCATGCAGGGTTTAAAATCCACATTTTCTTGGCTATTGTCCCACATTTACAGAGTACTCAAAATGTATTTTCCTGAAGTGATCTAATTTCCATCTCCAATTTAATTAAATTTTCAGCATTGTAGCGATTCCTTTGGTGATTTTTTGTTTTTAAACCAAGTTTTGCTCTGTTGTCCAGGCTGCAATGCAGTGGTGAAATCTCAGCTCACCGCAACCTCCGCCTCCCAGGTTCAAGCAATTCACCTGCCTCAGCCTCCCGAGTAGCTGGGATCACAGGTGTGCGTCACCATGCCCAGCTAAAATTTTTTGGTATTTTCAGTAGAGGTGGGATTCTCTTGCACTCCTGACCTCAGGGGATCCACCTGCTTCGGCCTCCCAGAATGCTGGGATTACAGGCATGAGCCACCATGCCTGGCCTATTTCCTTTCATTTAAAATGGATTAGAATCAGTGTTAAATCAGACAATCAGGGCTTTCTAGGAAATTGAGAATTTGTTGCCAGAAATGAAACTAGACTATGCAAAAGGAGTTAAGAGCTGGGATGAGGCTGGATGGGATGACTGACGGTCTGGGATCATTGCAAATGAAAGGGTGGTCAGAAACTGGTCCAGGGTGAAGCAGTAGGTGCAGTTTGGCAGAACATCCTCCTCCCTTGTCTTTCCTTTGTGAAACAACACAGGAGACATTTGGGTTTTGTAGCTTTTCACACCATACTATCAGGTGTCAAAATAAAAATTAGTTACTAAATTGTGTGGATTTTTGGAAACCTGCATTTCTGTTCATCTGCTATTCTAGAAAAAAACGAGATTATAGGAGAGTTATATCACAGTATCTTATGTTATGGAACCTGAAACATTACCATGTATTTTCTTTTATTATCATTTGTTTTGATGCTGCTCTTATTTGAGTTTATGAACAGAAATAGAAAATAGGATGCTTGGGTTTTGCCCTTTCTTATTCCTGAAAGTTAAATCAGAAGACACTGATTTCATTTTGTGAAATTTAGCTCAGAGACGGTTGATCTTTTGTTTCATTAATTAGTAACGAACAGGTAGCTTTAACATCTCTGCTGACACCTAGTCATCTGTTCTTCTAATGGGAAAATACGATAAAATGTCCTAGAGCTAATTCTAGCTTAAATTTGCCAGTATTTTTGTATGTCATTAAGACTTTTTCCTCCAAGTTTTGTAATAGAAATTTTGTTACTCTTTGCATACTTGATGGCATCTGTATCCATTTTGATTGGTTAATTATAAATTCTATGCTAATTTAAAACTTAATTTACCTCTTAAGGTGATTGCTCTCTGAGTAACGATTGTAGTCAAATGAAGTACAGTTTGCAACTATACTGTCACATTGATTGTTAAGTAAAAATAAACTAACCAAATGTGTCTAAAACAGACCAAGATCAGTTTTCTCATCAAATCAGTATTTCTCTTAAGAGCAGTTTCACTTCATGTTTTAGAGTGGACATTCTTGGAATTCCTCAAATTAAAAGCTATTTAATCTGCCTGGAATAGTCTGTGACCAAAAAAGAATGGAAAAACAGCCCATCATGTGGTATATTTAGGATTTATATATTCAGCTATTTGTCTGTGAAGAAGTCTTCCTGACTAAAATTGGTTTCAAGATAAACTAATTTCTCTATTAGTATTTCTGCTGTTCTTACCATGTATCCTGTTTTTGTTAGAAACTAATAAATGTATTAGTCATTGGAATGTACTGCTACTTTTTCCTCTCAGTTTTGTGGAAGGGATATGAAAACGTTTAATTTCTCAGGGAGTACTAAGGCAGTGCAGAGGCTGGAATCTGAAAAATAAAATATTAAAAATAAAAATGGACTATTATGTGTATTTTACCACAACTCAAAAGTATGTAAAAATTGGCTACATAAAAATTAAAAGTTCCACATAACAAAAACTACCATCAAGGGAAATTGGAAGCTGTGGCAAGCTTGGGAAGAAATAGTTGCAACTCATCACAAAGAGCTAATTCCTTTATGTAAAGTATCTGCCAGTTCTTTAAGAAAAAGACCAATAACTCAGCTGGGCATGGTGGCTGACGCCTATAATCCCAGCACTCTCGGAGGCCCAGGCAGGTGGATCACCTGAGGTCAGGAGTTTGAAACCAGCCTGGCCAACATGGTGAAACCCTGTCTCTACTAAAA